TACATAGTATATATACTACTATATAGTGTGTATATATAAAATATACTATATTCTAATACTGTATAAGTCCATTATTGTAGAATGCATAGGGATGGGAGCAGAGTGGGGTGGGAGGTGAGGGGTAGCTAATCATAAGGTCATACAATTTGATGGGTGGAGAGAGGAGTAGGAGTTCTGTTGTGAAAAACAGTGTATATGAACTTTGGAAAAAAACCAGTACAAAATAAAATTTTATTTTAAAAAATGCAAAACTTAAGAAGACGACAATGGATTGATTGGTTTCCCTGGAGAACTGAGGTCAATTTCAGTTTAGTTAGTGGATGTTGACTGTCAAACAGATGAAAGATGCAATAAGAATTATTTTGGTAAATCACTAGTGGCCATGAAATAGCTGTGAATTTGGGTGAAAGTGGATTTTCCTTCTCAGGAAAGTCTTCTACATCAGAGTTGCATCATAAGAAAATAATCTGAGTGATCAAGCTATGTGTTCATTTTCTCCTACCTACTTTCTTCTAACTGACTCCCAAGACAGTAAATTCTTATGACACAGTATTCTCTTATGAATAAAGCAGTAGAGACATGAGGGACTTGGCAAATTTTCAGAAGTATAAAATAAAATTGAACAGAAAATAAAATATACCTATGGGAATCATGTGCTTTCCAAGATATGTTTTAGCAAGTTGAATTTTAACCATTTTCATTACTATTCCGAAGAGTTAGAGCAAACATCATTGAAAAGTTTCTGTCCCACAAATGTCAGTTCTGTTGGTACCACATTGGGTGATAGATCCACAGAGCATAAAACTCACAGCCTTTAAAATAGTGATCTCAAGATAATGGTCTCTGGTGGCCCTAGGACTCTCATTAAAATCTTCTTGGAATTAACTGAGCTCCATCCTCAAGGAATGGAGAAGACACCGCCCTTTATGTTATAGAAGACTATAGTCTGAGGCACAGAGTAAATTTATCACAGAATTTTCAGGGGAAAATTGTTCTAAAACTTGTCACTGTATTATAGACATAAGAAATCACAGGAATAAATCTAGAAAACCACACGAGTTTCAGGACTGTAAATTCTCCCTACAGCGTAGTTATCTCAATACTGTAAGAGCGTATAAAATGATTGTCCTTCTATAGCAGGTAGGAATTTTTGTTTTCTTTTTTTTTGGAGATCAAACTGTTTTATTCAGAGCTTTTGCGGGAAGAGTCAAGGAGGCAAGAAAGGAGAGGTTCAACGATGGCGGTCTGGGCAGGATCGTGCGCACTTCGGAAACGCCGAAAGGAATTTTTGTTTTCAAACCTTTATTACAAAGAACATTGTTTTATACTTTAATAACCAAGTATCTGTAGATGTTAAGAGTTTGTTAGAGTGTACTGAAGAAGATGGATTAAATTTAAAATGCTGTTCATGAAACTATGTGAGAGAAGATTTGTAGAACCAAAAGCATAAATTAGCATGACAAATTCAAGTCAAAATTCTAGTGTGGGAAGATGTTGGATTGGGTCAAGCAAACAGGCTGTTAAGATTATAGATGTCATGATCTCCAGGGTCTATCAGTTCAATGAGAAGAATACAAAAGTTAATATTGGCATACTCCATGTGAGCAGTATGAGAAAGATTTTGTATATTTTAAAAAATACGAAAAATTTCAATCTGTAAATTGAAAAAAAAATATCTGAAACAGACTACCTATCTTCATTAGTTAATTATGACTCAAGCCACCCTAAAGGATAGAGTAGAACTGCTCCGCGGGGTTTCCTGTGCTGCAAATCTGTATGGACACAGGCAGCTTCATCTTATCCTAGTCTAGTGGGATCAAACTTCTGACCTTTCAGTTAGCAGTTTAGCACTTAACCTTTTAGGTCCATTTGCAAACTCAATATACCTAATATCCCAGCAATTCAGAGGCTTGGTAAATCTTGTGATTGGTGTTAGTGAATATATACTTGATAAAGTTGTCTTTATCTTTTAATAGGTACTTGATATACTTGTCTTGATAAAGTTCTTCCAATGTTTTCAGCATGTACCTTGGGAACTGGCTACATAAATAGCTAATGAAGTGTGATTTGAGAAGAGTAGTGTCTTCAATGAGAAATTAATAAATTCTTTTTCCTCTGCTCCAAGTAAACCACTACTGGGCTTTTGAGAAATATTGTTGGAGTTCTTCATTCTTAAATTTACTTAAGCAACCATGTAGTAAGCATCTTTGCATGTATTCACATTGCTCGGTAACATGGTTCTGCCCTGGTAATTCTTAAAATCTTTCTAGGGAGCTGCTGTCATCAGTATATTTCAAGATTAAAAAGACTGGAATTGAAGAATTATAAGGTAAGTTGTAGCTGCAACAATGAGAATGAAAAATATTTCCCTTTAGATATAAATATCCTAGAAGTTTTGAGAGGAAAGAGAGCTTGCGTGGGAAGGTCTTAGAAGCACATCATATGGCTATTGGTTGAAGGTAGAATGGGAAGATAAATTTCCCACTTTAGTCTTTATTTTAGCTATTCTCTGTACCTGTAATGCTCCCTTGCTAATGTTTACATGTTAGTTGCTTCTTTATTCCAGTTTCCATTTAAGGGTTACCTCCTCATACAGAAATTCTCTGACTCTGTAAACTGAAGAAATTAAGCTTTCTAGTATCATAGAAACACTATGGGTATAATCTGATCCCAAACAGTTAATATGCATTGAATTAATTTATAACTTCTGACAATCACTTATCTTACTTTCATCTTTTTTAAAATCAGAATGAAAATTCTTACTCAGTAGACTTTAGGGAGGTCTGGTGACCTAGTGATAAGAAGCTGTGCTGCAATTCTCAAAGGCATGTGGTTCGATTCCACCAGCTGCTTCGCGGGGGACAGAAGAACAATCCCCTCCCGTGCCGTCTAGTGCCTCTGCAAATCCGCTGAAGGGTCAGCTATGAGCCAGTTCTAATTTCATGGCACACAAAGCAAGTCTTTTGAAGATCAGATGAAAATAGATCTAACAATAACACACTATGACAAGTTTAGAAGCAGGAATAGTATCCATTTCCTAAATAACATGCCACCAGAAACTCTATGAACTTTGGTAAGTGGTTGTAGAGGGGCTTCAGACCTTTTGTTCATGGGGTCACTATGAGTTGTGTTTGACTTGAAGGCAATCAACAACAACAACAATACCCTGTAAACTACCTGGAATGTTTTTTTCTACCGATTGGCCTAGTTACCCAAACTGATTCCCCTGGGATTCTTTGCCCAGAAATTCAGTATAGTTATTGTGTACCATCGAGTTGGAACTGACCCATTGCTGAGCCTCCAGTAGGTTTTCAGGGACAGCTTATCACACAGGAGGAGATTGCTTTTCTTTCTCCCACAGAGCACCTGGTGGAGTTGAACCCTGTATCTTTGCATTGGCAGCACAATTCCTTACTTTTAAGCCATAAGATAGAAGACAGGTTATCTTTAACTAAGGATATGTATTCTTTTTTTTTGGGGGGGGGGATATGTATTCTTAATATCTTTACTCTTTAAGGAACCTAGAAAATAATTTTCAGCAGTAGTTCTTTCTCATTGTCATTCCTACTTCTTTATTTCCCACCCTGTGTGCACATTATTTTTCTGTCCCTCACTTTTAACAGTGGCTCCAGTTAAAATTGAAAGTTTGAAAGTCTATGGATTCTTCTTAACAGTTTTCTTCACTAATTTTTCACATGGAATAGAGGTTTAAAGGACAATGGAAGCAGAAATATGATGTTTGAGTTAGACATGTGTCAATTCTTTTCTATGTGTACTTCCATTAAAATAATCCAACTAGTATATTGTTTAGAATTGAATTATGCCACCCCAAAAAATATGTTTTAAATTCTAGCCTTTTTGTCCATGGTTGTAATCCCATTTGGGAATAGGTTGTCTTTGTTATGTCTATGAGGCAAGATTAGTGTATTGTGTGTTTTGAATCTATCTCTCTTGAGATATAAATGACGTTAAACAAGAACAGAGCAGAGATGGGCAAACAGAGATGCCAAGCCACATGAAGACTGCCCAGGATCTTCCTCCAGAGCCAACACACTTCACCTACAGGCAGCACCTTGAATTTAGACTTCTAGCCTCCTGAGCCAGGAAAAAATAAGCTTTTATTTATTTCTTTTTATGACGCTATTCCTATTATAGCAGCACCATTATGCCAACTAGAAAATCTCTGAAGGTTCTTCTAAGATAAAAAATGAGAAGTTGATCAGAATACACTATTCAGGAACGAAGCATCTCCAAAATAATTCTGTTGTATTGTTTTAAGTATTTTGAAAGTAAGATCAGTGAAAAATTCTTAATAACTTCAAAACTATTGATATGCCTTATGAAATACTGTCTTAAAAATATTGATCCTGTGTGTGCTAAACTGCAGTTAGTACCATGAATAGGAATGCAGAAGTTACTAAAAGTTATAGATTTATCTGATCTACCTACTGTGATAATGATCAGACTTAGTGTACTATAGGGGTTAGCTCCGAAGGTAGGATTCAAACATTAAAGTTCCGTAAGGAATGATTACTCATACTCTCCAGAATGTTTCTAGTATTATATTGATTATATTTATTCAAATAACAGTTTACTAAACACTCCTGTCTGACAGTTTACCATTAGATCTTGCAAAAACATTTCAAAATGTGACTTCTTAAAGACTGATGGGTAAGGACACAAGCAGTTTTATTAACGTATTCAACTGTAGAAGAGAGAAAGAAGTACTTAGAGGAGTGACTTCTGAGAAGATATCTGGGCTCACTCTATGGCATTTATGCAGATTCTCCTCCTAGAATATTTCTTAGACACCTAACCTGGACTTCAGAAGCCAGGTTCAATGATCTCTGTTATCCCAGGCTCTTACTTTAAGGTTATCTTACTCTTACTTGAGAGGAAGTTGACATTAGTGCAGAGGAGTGTTTTCAAATCACCCTCAGTACCTTGCCCTGAAGCACATAGTCAATCTGTGGGAGAAAGTTGCTGAGCCCATCAAAAGGATGAACAATCAGACAGCAGTGACAGTATTCCTTCTGTGGGGATTCTCCAGTTTTCCAGACCTGCAGAGTCTCCTCTTTGTGGGGATTTTCTTCTCCTATGTGATCATCCTAGCTGCAAACGTGGCCATAGTGGTGGCCATCAGGTTCAGTCACAATCTTCACACTCCCATGTACTTTTTCCTCTGTGGCTTATCGATTTCCGAAACCTGTGCCAGTATGGTAATCATCCCTCGCATGCTGGTGGACTTGCTGTCACACAACAAAACCATTTCTCTTCCTGAATGTGCCACACAGATGTTTTTATTTTTTGGCTTGGCAGCCAACAACTGCTTCATCATGGCTGCCATGTCCTATGATCGCTACACTGCCATCCACAACCCACTGAACTATCACATGCTGATAACCGGCAGCATCTGCTGTCAGATGATGATGGCCTCTTTCCTGGTTGGGTTCTTGGGTTCCCTAGGTGTGATCATCACTGTGTTCAGCTTGTCATTCTGTGACTCCAAAATCATCCAGCACTTCTTCTGCGACATCTCACCTGTAATCTGCCTTGCTTGTGATTACACTTTTATGCATGAAATGATTATTTTTTCCCTCTTTGTCTCTGGACTTGTGGGAAGTTTTCTTTTGATTATGATTTCCTATGTCTTCATTGTATCCATAGTTGTCAAGATGTCTTCTGCGAAAGGGAGGTATAAGGCCTTCTCAACTTGCTCTTCCCACCTCTGTGTAGTGTCCATTCACTATGGATTTGCTTCTTTTGTCTATTTGAAACCCAAAAACAGTGGATCATTTCGTGAAGATATGCTGATGGCTGTGACATATACCGTGTTGACGCCTCTGCTTAACCCTATTGTTTATAGTCTAAGAAACAAAGAAATGCAGATAGCTCTAAAAAAAGTAATAATAGGCAATGTCAACAGATTCATTCCTTTTCTACAAAGAAGCAACAAATGAAAGAATTTGGAACTTTTAAAATATTTACAGCCTTATCATCAATGAAAAAAAATGGTAAAAAAAGTGAAATACTACCAATAAGTATCATCGTTTTGTGTACAAAACATTAAGGTACTAGTTGCCTCAAATTAAGTGGCTTTACCATTTTCTTATTACAAAATGGAATGTAGTTTTAAAGTACTTTCAAATGTTATTCTTTTGTTTACATGAATGTATGTTTTTGTTACAAAACATATTTATATAGACATGTGTATGTGTAAATGTATGCATGTGTATGCAGTGAACATATTTTAACAAGATATTTTCATAATTTTGGTTGCTTTCAAGAAGGAAAATTTCTAACTAAGAAAGTAAAAGATCACTACTTTGTTGTTATGTGCAGTTGAGTCGACTACGACTCTTCAAGGCCCTGTGAAAATGGCTCTGAACCTTGCTCTATCCTGAGCCAACCTGAGCATTTTTAACACACTTTGACCCCTGTGTCAATCCATCTATCTCATCCAGAGTCTTCCTCTCCTGTACTGTCCCTCTACCCTTGATGTCTTTCTCTAAGGACTGATTCTTCCTGGCAACATGCCCAAAGTACATGAGGCTTGAGCTTCAAAATCATTGCCTCCAAAGAGCACAGTTACATACCGTGGACCTCCAAGAGAACAAATAGGTCTGTTCTTGAGGGGATGAAACTAGCTTGCTTTTTCCCCTCTATGGAGAAATAAAATGCAGGAGAAAGCTCAGACATGGAAACGTAGAAGTGATAATGAGAAAATAATTATAATACAGAGAAAATAGAAAATATTTTGTTTTATTATTTTTTATTGAAGTTTTATAAATTGCATCATGTTCCCCAAAAGATATGCTGAAAATCTAACTCTCAGAACCTGTGAATGTGACATTATTTGGAAGCCAAGTATTTGTGATATGTTGTTGTGTTGTGTACTGTGGTGTCAAAACCAACTCATAGCTGACCCCTCCAGTGGGTTTTCAGAAGCAGTAAATCAGAGGAGATTACACATCTTTCTCCCACAGAGCAGTTGACAGATTCAAACCACGTGCATTTGAGTTGCACAATTCCTTACCACTAGGCCACCATACTGAATTAGAATAACCCCTATTCCACTGACTAGTGTCTTTAGAAGAAGAAAGAAATTTGGACACATAAACAGGAAAAAAATGCCATGTGGTGACAGAAGTAGGAACCAAAATTATTCACCATCAGGTGTCAGCAGAGCAAGGGCTGAGTGGAGATGGCCATATCTGACCTTTACCAACCCCACAAAGAGGAACTGTGCCTGTCAACAACACAAACCCAACTCCCATGAAGTCAGACATGTCCCCCGTGCTCCTGCACCTCTTTCTGCTCATCCCAACACCAATCTTATTGCTATATAGGTCCAAAAATCCATTGTTACAGCTCACAGACCATACAGAACCATAGTAGTCAGTAACCATATAAGGGTTATAACCATATTCAGGTAGTAGCAGGATACATTCAATCAGGACAGCTCCTGACACGTAGCTCAATGGCACCTCAGCCTTCAACCTCCCCATGGCTTCAGGTTAGTGTTAAAAAACTTGGTCCTGCCGATTATAGCTCCACCTTCCCATGCCTTCCACCCTGAGTCATCCAACAAACTTGCACAAAGGCTCTTAGCTCTGGACCTCATGGAGTAACAGTACTAAAGTCTGCTCTGTCTCATGTCAGGTCTCTGGTTGTTTGTTTGTTTGCTGAGGCTGCTATTGCTGCTGATACTGTAGGCCTTGGTCTGGCTGGCACAAGAATCTCTGCCCAAATGGCACACTACATTCACTTGCATCTTCTTTGCTAATGGTGAGATTCTCTAATTCTGCTGCTAGAGCCACTCAATTTAGTAGTGACTAGCCAATTTCCTTGTGGATTGGGGAGACTAGCCAATCCTTTTAAGTAGGCTCACACACCGTATTCACATATGACTGCCTTTCCATACAACAAAGTCTGTTAATGTCTAGGAAAGCCATTTTGAACAACATAACCTTAAACTAAGGATTGCTAGCAACTGGTCTAAGATAGAAGAGGCAAGAAAGCATCCTTCCTCAGAGCCCTCAGAGAGTACATTAATCTGTCAATACCTTAATTTCAGACCTCTAGTCTCCATGAAGGCTAGAAAATGATGAAGAATTAACTTCTGTTGTTTCAAGCTATCTTGTTTTATAATGCTTTGTAAAAATAGTTATAACAATATTCATAGTTTTGGAACTATGTAGAAGGATACTACTGTAACAAATACCTAAAAATGTGGGAAGGACTTTCAGATTGGGTAATAGAAACTAGAAGAAATTTTAGTCACTTGGTAGAAAAAACTAAGGTTGACTAGGAGAGACGAAGTAATATGGATTTTAAAAGCACTTCTGATAGGGCATTAGTATGAAGAGAAAAGAGGTTTTTTAAAACAAAAAAAGCTTCTAATGTCTTAGAAAATACACACCTCATGATGAAAAGGATGTTAGTAGACATCTGGATGGTAAAGGTACATTTGATGTTGTAACAAACAGAAATGAAGATAATATTGGAAGCTGGAGAAAAGATTATCCTTGTAATAAAGGGTATGTGAACTTGATTGAATTGTGTCTACTGTTGGGTGGAAAGTAGAAGTTGCAAGTAATTAACTGACAATTACACTAGATGCAGATATTGCCATATAAAGTGTGAACTGTCTTAGTTATCTAATAACAGAAACAACACAAGTGGATGACTCAAATGAATCAAAATTTGGGTGTTTTTACCCTTTAGGAAGCTACTAATCTGGTTGTGTCAGCTCTGGAGGAAGGCTTGCCTCCCTCTGGGCTCAAGTGAACTTCATATGATGGACAGCTGGCTTCTCACATAATTTAATCTGCACTTTTTAAATCCCAACAAGACTGACCTTAGACACATCCTATACTAATTCTGTCTCATTCACATAACAAAGAAAATCTATCCCCAAATTCAATTATAACCACAAGTTATGTATTAGAATTTAAAACACATATGTTAAGGGAGTACAATTAAATAAAAACAGGTTCCAAACTGCATATTAGGTACAATCATGTTAAGAGTGACCTCTAGTGCAATTTAAAATCTGTAGAAAGTGTTTTCCTCTGTATAATTTTAGATTCTCTTTAAGAAAAATAATGCGAGTCTTGACATTTCTTTCTTGCTATTTTGGAACTCTAGAGAAGATACAAAACCATCATGTGCATTCAGTAAGTCAGTCAGGTAGTGTTCTGCCTGCTGAGTGTGACTCTAAGGGATAAAAGTGACTTTCTGTCTATTGATTCAGGCAAAATATTACAGAGGATATCATGGGTTTTGCAATCATTTGTTATGCATCAGAGAGTTGGACAATGACTAGGGAGGATAGAAGGAGAATTGACGCCTTTGAGCTGTGGTGCTGGAGAAGAGTATTGAATGTACCATGGACTGCCAAGAAAACAAACAGATTCATCGTAGAGAGGATTAAGCCAGGCTACTCCTTGGAGGCAAGGATTCTGGGGCTTCGTCTGACATACTTTGGACATGTTGTAAGGAGAGACAGGTCTTTAGAGAGGGACTCATGCTGGGTAGAGTAGAGGGACAGCGCAGGAGGGGAAGACCCTCTATGAGGTAGATTGATTCAGTGACTGGGGTAATCAGGATGGGTGTGTCAGAGGCAATGAAATTGGCACAGGATAGAGCACGGTTTAGGGCTGTTGTACATAGGGTCGCTATGAGTCGCAAACGGCTTGATGGCACATAACAACAACAACAGCAATCATCATATTTTCATGTCATTTGAGTGGTTCTAATTGTGGTTCTGGATGTAGAAGTTAGAGTTAATACAGTAAACAAACATCCACTGGTTATTTGGGGTTGTTGGTGGTGGTGTGTGCCATCCAGTCACCTGTGAACCATAGCAACCCTATGTACAGCAGCTCTGAAGCCTGTCCTGTCCTGAGCCAGTCTCATTGATTCTGACACACCAACCCGCATTGCCCCAGTTACTATATCAATCCATCACATCCGGAGTCTTCCTTCCTGTGCCCTCTCTCTACCCTTCCAAGCATGATGTCCTTCTCCAAGTATCAGTTCCTCCTGGCCATGTGCCCAAAGTATGTGAGACGGAGCTTCAAAATCCTAGCCTCTAAGGAGAAACTTGGTTTCACCCTCTACAAAACAGACCTATTTGTTTTCTTGGAAGCCATGGTATGTTCAAAACTCTCCTCCAGCACCACAATTCAAAGGCATCAATTTTGCTTCTATCATCCTTAGTCATTGTCCAACCAGTTCTCTGATGTATAGCAAGTAATTGCAAATACCATGGCCTGGATTAGGCGCACCTTAGTCTCTAGTCCGACATCATCGCTTCTCAGTACTTTGGAGACGTCCCTGACAGCAGATTTTCCTTATATAATTTGTCTTTTGATTTTCTGACTGCTGGTTCCAAAAGTGTTGATTGTGGTGCCAAGCAAATTGTAATTATTAACAACCTCAATCTCCTCTCCATCTATCACAATGCTCCATCAGTGAGAATCTTTGTCTTTTTTTTTTTTTTTTTTTTTTTTTTTTTTTTTTTAACTAGGCCACCAGAACACCCTAGAGACAATGAAATGTGCTCCATGTCTGGAATTAATTTCTTACCTGGACAACCTCAAGGAAGAGCAGTCTCAAAGGTCTTGTCTCCATCTTGCGCAAGTAACATTATTTATTTATTTTATCTTTGGGCTCCTGTAACAAAATGTTCGTATCTCTGTTATCACTGTATTGTAATCCATGGTAAGATGGATTGTATTTGTATTGGAATCCATGGTAAAATGGATTTTATTGCTACAACATTAACTCCTTATTAGTATGTCTGTATGCTACCTTACTAACTCCCTTCAAATTGGTAAGTCCACTACCACAAAACCAAACTGTCAAATACAGCACGTGAATCTGTGAAAGTTGAAAAAAAAAGAATCTTTGTCTTCTTGATGTTGAGCTTCAATCAATAATGAAGACTACAGTTCTTGACCTTCTGCAGTGAAAGCTTCAGGTCCACCTCAGTCTCAGCAAGTAAGATTGTGTCATCTGTATACTATAGGTTGTTGATGAGTCTTTCTCCAATCCTGATGCCACCTTCCTCTTCATAAAGCCCAGCTTTCCAAATGATCTGGTCTGCATATAGATTGAAAAGGTATGGAAACAGGATGCATCCCTGACACACTCCTTTCCTGGTTTTGAACCATGCAGTGATTTCTTGCTCTGTTCTGAGGACTGCTGCCTGGTCCAAATATAGGTTTCTCTTAAGCACAATCAAGTATTCTGGGATTCCTATTTCTCTCAAGGTTAGCCACAATTTGTTGTGATCCACACAGTCAAATAGAGAATGATTTAACTTAGATAATTTGGTGATTAAAATTTATCTGTCATCTTTATTCATTGTCCAGCTCTCAGATGCATAGCTAGTAATTAGAAAGACTATAGCCTGAATCAGACACAGATTAGTCTTGAAACTCACATCACTACTGATCAGTAATTTGGAAAGGTCCCTAACTGCAGACTTTCCCAGTGCGAAGCATCTCCTATTTCCTGACTGCTAGTACCAAGGATATTAGTTGTGGATCTAAGCAAGATGAAACTGTACAGTTTCAGCTCCTTTCCATCCATCATGATATTGCCTATCTGTCCAGTGGTAAGAATTTTTGTTTTCCTGACATTGAGATGTAATCCATACTGAAGGCTCCATTCCTTGACTTTCTGCAACAAGTGCTTCAAGTCCTCACTTTCAGCAAGAAGGTTGTGTCATCTGCATAGCATGGGTTATTGATGAATCTCCCTCCAATGCTGATGCCACGCAACAAGAACTGATTATTGAAGGGAGGAGCATCTGATACCTTCCAAGGTGGCTGGATCAAGTTTACCTGCAGATGTACCTCAGAAAGGAGCCTCTTGATCGGGTTGGATAACAGGGCAACAAAAGCTTTTTAACCATCAGCATCACTGAATTCAACCTTTAGGATGTTTGGAGAGCATAAAGACTATAATTTTGAGATGGAAAGATCTTGGATAGCACAATGCTATTCATTTCTCATTCAGAGAAGTTCAAATGTATGAGTTCCAAAGACTGCCTTCAAGGAGCACAGAATGTTTTAAAAAATATGTGTGCTTATCGATGCACATAACAGTGAATGAAGCAAGAATAAAACAAATACTTCTTACTAAATTTAATGTTTTTACCCTAAAACTGTTGAGAATGACACAATGAAATTTCTAACTCTAGAATGATTATTGTATTGTCCTTTGGCATTAAACCTTCATCTATAAGAGACGATCTGACTATGTAAGTTTTATTATTAAAATCATACTTGCTCAGCATCACCAGCATGTCTTACCCTTCAGTTTTCTCATGGCCTCTTTAACCTCCTTATTCCTCAGACTGTATATCAAGGGGTTCAACATGGGGATCACCACTGTGTAAAATACAGACACCACTTTGTTCTGTTCAGTCGAGTAGCTGGACTTGGGCATCACGTAAATGAATGTAATGGTCCCGTAGAACAGAGTCACTGCAGTGAGGTGGGAGGTGCAGGTGGAGAAGGCCTTGTGGCGGCCCTCAGTGGAGCGCATCTTCAGGATGGTGATGAGGATGTAGATATAGGAGACAGCTATGACGAACACTGTGACCACAATGATGGAGCCAGAAGAAATGGCTGGAGTGATGTCGGAAGTAAAATCATGAGAACAAGAAAGTTTCAGAAGTGGTGAATAGTCACAGAAAAAGTGGTTGACTTTATTTGGCCCACAGAAGTTCAGACTTAATAAACATCCAGTAAATATCCAAGCATTCACACATCCACCTAGGTAGGATATTCCCACTAAGACAAAACAGATTTGGGGGGACATCTGGGTGGAGTAGAGCAGGGGTGAGCAGATGGCCACGTAACGATCATAGGCCATGGCAGCCAGCAGGAAGCACTCAGCTGTCCCAAACGTGACCACAGAACAGAGTTGAGCTACACAGCCAGGAACAGGAAGAGAGGTTTTCTCCCTTACCAAGCCCAGGAGCATGACAGGCGTAACTGATGAGGAGTATCCAATATCTACAAAAGCCAAATGGCAGAGAAAAAGGTACATTGGGGTATGAAGCTGAGGGCTGCTTCTAATCAACATCATTATGCTCGTATTGCCCATCAGAGTGATGGCGTAGATTCCTAGAAACACAACAAATAAAATTACACAAGCTATAGGCTCTTCTGTTAACCCCAAAATAATGAACTCTGTCACGCTTGTGTTGTTTCCAGTTCCCATTTAGAGTTGTCAGGAATGGTGTCCACTAAAAACAAAACAAGTGAAAATGAGAATGAATTATATGAATTATAAAATTAGAATAATTTTATTATTTGGATAGCTATTTTTACAATAGATATCTAATAAAGAATCTAATACAATTATGATTAAATTTTTGTTTCATAAAATACTTGAAATATGTGTTGGAGAAGCTCAATATCAGCAGTCAAAACAAGACTAGGAGTTGAATGTGGAATAGATCATCAACTACTCATGTGAATCTTCAAATTGAAGCTGAATAAAATTAAAACAAGTTCATGAGAATAAAAATATGGCCTTGACAAAGTTTAACAGGACAGCAAATAATAAATGTTGGAGAGGATGTGGCAAAATAGGAACTCTTACACATTGTTGGTGGGATTGTAAAATGGTACAGCCACTCTGGAAGGCAGTTTAGTGTTTCCTCAAAATGCTGAACATAGAAATTCCATATGGTCCAGCTATTCCACTGCTTGGAATATACCCTGAGAAAATGAAAACTGAGGCACAAACAGAAACGTGTACACCAATGTTCATAACAGCATTATTCATCGTCATTAGAACATGGAAACAGCCTAAATCCATCGAATGGATTGAGAAATTATGGCACATTCACACAATGGAATACTACAGAGCCTGCAGGAACAATGATTTTGTAAATTAATACCTAACTTGGAGGGACTGGAGAGCATTATGCTAAGTGAACTAATTCCATATACAAGGATAAATACTGTAAAAGACAATTATTGTAGAATGAGTATGAAGATCCAAGCAGGGAAGGTGAGAGAAGAGGGGTGAGGAGGAACAGGGTGGGATGGGGTGGGGAGGTGGTTAATCATAGAGTCATATGATTTGATGTGTGTTGGGCGGAATGGGTAAAGGAAATGGGAACTATATAGTGTGAAAAACAACATATACAAACTTTGTAAGTAAACCAGTATAAAAGAAAAATTTTATTTAAAAAAAATATACATAGCCTTGAGTCTACCTCAATTAATTTTAAAAAAATATCTCAAGAATAGATTTTATGCATTGAACACTAATGATCAGGCAAGTTGGGATGGCATCAAGGATAATATTCATGAAGATAACAAAAGGTCATTATAAAGACTTTACAAAGAAAAGACCAAAATGGGTGTCAGAAGAGACTCTGAAACTTGCTCTTGAAGAAAAAGAAGCCAAAACAAGGGAAAGGACTACTAAAGAGAACAGAACAGATTATTTCAAAGAACAGCTAGAGAAGACAAAACAAAGTGTTATAACAAATGTGCAAAGTTCTGGAGTTAGAAAAATCAAAGGACAAAAACCTACTCAAACTACTCATTTCTCAAGCTGAAAGAACTGAAAAACAAATTCAAGCTTCAAGTTGCAATACAGAGAATTCTACAGGGAAAGTCTTTACTGATGCAGGAAGCATCAAAAGATGCTGTAAGGTATACACAGAATTATTACACACCAAAAAAAGTCAACACTGAACCATTTCAGGATGTAGCATATGATCAAACACTGGTAGTACTGAAGGAAGAAGTCCAAGCTGCACTAAAGGCAATGGCAAAACATAAGCCCCCAGGAACTGATAGAATACCAATTGAGGTATTTCAGAAAATGGATGCAGCCTTGGATAGTGTCTGTCAAGAAATTTTTAAGACAGTTATCTGCCCAAACAAATGGAAAAGATCAATATGTCTTCCCACTCTAAAAAAAGGTGCAACAGAGTGGGGAAATTATCAATCTTATTAATATCACATGCAAATAAAATCTTTCATAATATTATTTTTAAATTACTGTATTAGTACATCTAAAGGGAAGTGTTAAAAATCAGATTAATTCAGAAGAGATTGTAGAATTATTACTATTATTAGAATTATTATTGTCTATGGCAGATGGATTTTGGCTAAAAGCAGAGAATACCAGAAAGATGTTTACTTGTGTGTTATTGACTATGCAAAGACATTTGGCTGTGTGAATCATAACATATTATGGCTAACATTAAGAAGAATGTGAATCCCGGAACACCTAATTGTACTGACATGAAATCTATGCATAAAACAAGAAACAATGGGATGTCTGAACAGAACAAGAGAACACCACATGGTTTAAAATCAGGAAAAGTGTGTGTCAGGGTTATATCATATCTCTGTAACTATCCTCCCATACAGTTTACTAGCTCTGAAAACCCACTGGAGGCCCGGATATGAGTTGGTTCCAATTCAACAGTGCACACAACATTCAATCTGTATGCTTAGCAAATTATTAAAGAAGTAGGAGCAAGAATGTGGCATCACAATGGAGGAAGACTAAACAACCTGCATTAAGCAGATGACACAGTTTTATTTGCAGGAAATGAAGATTTGCAGCACTTACTGCAGAAGATTATTCTGCAGTAGAAATATTCCCATATTTTAAAGAGTACATTCTTCAAAATGGATTACAGCTCAAATCAAGAAAGTGAAAATCCTCACCACTGGATTGTATATGGAGAAAATATTTAGTTGTCTACAGTTTTATTTCACTTGTACCCACAATAAATACCCATGGTAACAGCTGTCAAGATATCAAAAGACATTGCATTGAAGAAATCTGCCATCCAAGACCTCTTTAAAATACTAAACAGCAAGGATGTCATCTTGAAGACTTACGCACACCTGATGCAAGCCCTGTTATGAGTATGCATCTGAAAGTTGGACAATGAATAAAAAAGACCGAAGGAGAATAAATACCTTTGAATTGTGATGTTTGAGAAGAGTATTGATGAACTCATATCATGGACTACCAAAAGAACAAGTCTGTCTTTGGAGGAAGTACAACTAGAGTTTTCCTTAGAGGCAATGATGGTGAAATTTTGCCTCACAATCTTTGGGCATTTTGTCAGGAGAACCAGTCTTTGAATAAAGATATCATGCTGGGGAAAGCAGAGTGTCAGCAAAAGAAAGGAAAACCCTTAACAAGTTGGAGTGACACAGTGCCTGGAACAATGGGCTTGAGGATATCAGAGATCCTGAGGATGGAGTCGCATAGGGCAAGGTTCATCAGGTGGCCATCAACATAATAACAATCTCAGCAATAGCATATATATATGTATGTTCCTAGTTATGCTCTGGTGGCCTAGTCATAAGGAACTGCGCTGCAAACTCAAAGCACATGTTTCATGGTTTGAATCTACCAGCCGTTCCGCTGGAGATGGATAAGCAATCTTCTCCTATGAAATTTGCTGCCTCTGAAAACCCACTGGAGTTGATTCTGACTTGATGGTGCATGACAACAACAGCAATTCAGTAAAACTCAGAAAACTTTTTAAGTATTACACAAATAGCATACAACTTGTATTTGTGTCATATACTTAGGTATTCCGTGAATCTCTCTCATAATATCACCTCTCAGAGATGACTATTAGATGGTAAAAAGAACCCAGTAATCTTCTTTAACTAAAAATATGATTAAAGAGAAGCATTAGAATGGATCAAAATATGGGAGGGAGGGTGGGAGGGCTGGACGGGGAGAGAAGTGCAGCAATGAATGAATGGAAATCCAAAATCTCTGTAAATGTTCATCAAAATTATTTTTAAAAAATTATGGGAGAGTGAGGGGAAGCTGCTGTTCCAAAAGTGGTCGACACATTATTTCTTACTTGAAAAATAGTGTCCAGGGAGCTCTGGTGGCCTAGTGGCAGAAAGCTGCACTGCAATCTCAGAGGTGCACAGTTCAAATCCACCAGATGCTCTGCTGGAGAAGGAGGGACAATCTCCTCCTGTACCAGTCAGATCCGATTTGATGGTACACAAACACAAACAAATAATAAAATAAAAAATTAAAAAAGAAAAAGAAAAATAATGTCCAGCAACTATGAGCCCTAATTTTAAAGCAGAGGGCCAAAGGTGGAGCTGCAAAGTACCAGGAATAGGTCAGTAACTCAGCAGTGAGCTGTGTTCCTCACGCAGGGTCTCATAAGGAAGGTGTAGCCAAAAAATCCAGAGACACTACGTAAGATATTGAAATAATGAACAAATAAGGAAAGGGAGATTGAAGGGAGTTGAGATGTGGTTGAGAGGAAGGAATCATCCAGGGACAAACTATAAATCTAATTATAGTGAGCAAGCTAGGTTAAGGGAAATTATTTTAGTCAAGTTACTTTGGAGGTCTTGGATGCTTGAGAGACTGGACTCTGTGCATGAGCTGGAGTTGCCAGCAGAGGGCTCCAACTTCCCACAAGTTTCAGCCCCATCTGAGCTCAAGGACACTCACTGCCATGGAGTTGATTTGCTGATTCTCTGCTTTGCCAAGTATAATGTCTTTTCTCAAGGATTGGCCACAAACCCAGGGTGAGATGAAGTTTCACCATCCTTGCAGCTAAGGAGCACTCTGGTTGGTTGCACTTTCTCCAAGACAGACTTGTTTGTTCTTCTGGCAGTCTATGGGATATTCAGTGTTCTTCAACAACAAAATTTAAAGGCATCTGTCCTGTATATAGACAAAGAAGCAGTCATTTGAGCAGATCAAGATTGTATAGGGTTTTAAATCAGGAAATATGTACATCAAGACTGTATCCTTTCCTCATACCTATTCTGTCTGTATGCTGAACAAGTCATTGGAGAAGCTGGACCATATAAAGAAGAATGTGGTATCATTAACAACCTATATTATACAGATAACACAACCTTTCTTGCAGAAAATAAAGAAGACTTGGAGAATTTACTGAAGAGCATAAAAAGTTTACAGCCTTCAAAATAAATAATATCACAACATCAAGAATGTCTTCACCACTGGACCAATAGACATCATGATGATGGGGAAAAGATTGAAGTTCTCAAGGATGTCTTTTTACTTGAATTCAGCACCTATGGCAGCAGCAGTCAGGAATTCAAAATGATGTTTTATTGGGCAAATCTGCTCTCAAGGACCTCTTTCAAGTGCTAAAGAGCAAGGATGTAAGTTTAAAGACTAAGATGTGCCTGACTCAAGCCATAGTATTTTCAATAGCTTTGTATGCATGTGGAGGTTGGACAATAAATAATGAAGATAAAAGAATTAATGTTTTCTTTGAATTGTAGTGTTACTAAAGAGTATTCACTATATAATTTACTACTAAAACAAAGAATATAGGAAAATACAGGACAGAGTATTCAGAGAGAGCAGAAGAAGGTACTGTAACTAAGAGAATAACAGAAATCATTTATATTCCATTTATTAACAATTCTTCTCTCTATTATTGGTCATTTTTTATCATTCTTCTGCTGAAGAATTAGACTTGCCCATTTTTTCTGTATCATTTAATACAAGATTTATCTATTTTGAGAAACTTTTATTCTTTGTAGTATCATTATCATTTTCAGAAATATTTAGCAATACTAGCCATAAAAATCCCCATATTTTATCTTTCTTGAAGACAAACCTAAATTTTATAGTAAGTTTTTCGCATTTAAGAGTTCTGTTCCAATCTGGTTAAGCTCTTGCACACACATATATGCAGAGCACAAGCAGCTATGCTCCAGAGATGCTTGAATTTGTGAATTACTGAGCGATAACCTGCCATCAGACAACTGCATGTCTAAACTCCAAGAGTCTTAGATTTCATCTTTGCATAGGATGAAGCGAGAAGCTTTATTAACTAGATAAGTTGTTGTTGTTGTTGTTGTTGTTGTTGTTGTTGTTAGGTGCTGTCAAGTCCGTTAGAAGTCATAGTGACTATGAACAACAGATCTTGCCCTGTCTTGCACAGTCTTCACTATCTCCATGTTACTCAAACCCATTGTTGCAGTACCTTTCCCAGCATGATGTTCTTTTCCAAGGTTTCCTCTCCTGACGCCCAAAGTAAATGAAAAGGGGTCTCACCATATTTCCCTCTAAAATGCACCCTGTTTGTACTTTTTAGATGCTAGAATTAATAAAAACTTAACCATTTCAATAATGGAGGTGCTTTTAAGTAAAGTTTAGAAGACAGGAAAGTCCAAGAAAGGACAAACAGAAACTGGGAATCCAGGAAGAAATAGAGTCTCGTTAGATTGAGGGAATTGTAACAATTTCACAAAACCAAGTGTGTAGAAATTTTTGAATGCAAAACTATTTTTCTCTGCAAACTTTCACCAAAATTAAAATAATTTAAAAACAGAAAGCTTTAAAAGGGAGAAAACCGCAAAATTGTGCAAGAGAGTAACAAATTAAATCTTTTTGAAAAAGATATGCACACTTGGAAGAAAGGATTGAAGGAATAAATAGGGAAGTAGGAAGGAAAGGAAAGAAATAAGATGTAAAACGAACAAATTTAAGGTTGATTATTAGGTTAATAAGACAGCCTTTCACCTTGGCAAAAATAGTAATATTCAGTAAGACAGCAAACAACTCATGCTGGTGAGGATGTAGAGAGATTGGAACTCTCATACCTACTGAGGGGAATGTAAACTTGTGCAACCACTATGGAAAGCAGTTTTGCACTTTCTTAGAAATTTAGGAGTCCAATTACTATCTAATTCAACAATTTCACTCCTAGGTGTGTATCTTGAAAAAATAAGAGGTAAAATGCAAACTAACATGGGCAAGTTCGTGTTTATTACAACAGCAAAGAGTTAGAAACAACCCAGATGTTAATTAATGGATGAATAACTAAAGAAACTATAGTATACTCAAACAATGGGATATTGTACACCGCTAAAAAAAATAAAAATTCATGAAATACTGCAAAACAGATTAATATAGAGTAAATTATGTTGAATGGCATAAATCAATCGCGAAAGGACAATTAAAGACGACCAATATAAAAATCTAAAGAAAGATTTATCCACAGAATCAATCTTGGAGCTCAGTAAGGATGAGAAGGGAGGGAGAGGAGAGTAAAAATTAATAAAAAGAGAAACTTAATGAGAGAAAGGCAGCAGATAATCATAGTTTGATTAGACACTATAATATGTATATTAATAAGAGTAAAATTATAATAAGTACATTAATAATTAGTATACTAAAATAAAATAACTATTCATAAAAACCAATATTCATAAACTCACTAAAATTTAAAAAATAAAATTACCTCACTGAAAAATATGAAATAAAATTTGCTTGTAGTGTTATAATGACATAAAGTAAAATGTTACACAGAAATTCCAAGGCTTTGGAGCCATGTGCACCTAGAATCAGTACTTTCTTTGCCAGTTATTAACTATGGGTTTTTATCAACTTAAATACTCTCTAATACTATGTTTAAAAAGTAAAAGTAAACAGCTTACAGTGTTCTTATGGGGAGTAAGATCATATGCTTCATAATATGTACATGGGTGTGGAGTACCATAGTGTGTGTGGAGGACCCCTTAGCTGACCCTTTCCGTGGGTTTTCAGAGGAAGTTAATGGCATGAGAGGAGATTGAACATCCTCCCACAGAGCAGCTGGTGACCTCGAACTGCATGCCTTGCTGATTGCAGCCCAGTTTCTGCCACTAGACCACCAGAGCTCCCTAGCGCAATGAATTCTTATTTTCTTGAAATAACCAACCATGATCCTTTAATACAAAAATGAAAACAAACCTACCAGTAGAAAAAAATTAGAGCAGGTAGTTGGTTTTACTTCAACAATGATAAAAAATCCCAAGAACAGTCATATTTATATGAGATTTGAGTCTTTGGGAATATAATCCCCTTGAGTGTTTTTCTTGTTTGTGAAAATTTCACTGATTATTCATCAAGACACAGAAAATTACAGGCACACATACTCATTTATATATTTAATGTCTAAGAACATTTCTAAATTCTTTGATGCTTTATATTTTGAGTACATTAGAATTTTTAAATTCAACTTTTTTATGGAATACTAAACACATTCCTTGTTGAGACTTGTAAGAATAAACTGGGAACAATGAATTAGTTATACCTTCTATTAAGAATGTACAAAATTAAAAATGAAAATTCAAAGCTTACTTTTTATAAGTCCATCTGGGGAAACCAGAGCCTATTTTGAAAGAGAAGATATAGAGAGAGCTTGTCCATCCTTCTCCCACGGAGCAGCTGGAGGATTCAAACCATGTGCTTTTGTGATTGCAGCATGGCTTCTTACCATGAGGCCATCAGAGCTCCCTATATACATGTGTACTTACCTTTATTTTTTAATGCTTCTAGAGAAGAAGACCTTCAATGAGATAGGTTGACACAATGACTGCAGCAATGAGCACAAGTATGTCAGACATGATGAATGGCACGGGATAGGACAGGG